CCTAGGAAACGGCAGCGTTGCCTACGGAAGATCCATCAGGTACACCACCTTCAGACAGGATTTTGGACCTGTTATTTTTACCAATAGATTTCCCCGAGTATCTTCTATAAACTGGCAAGACCCGCATCTCTTTATTGTTTGTGTACCAAACGTTATTCTGAAAAGACTTTTCTGCACTATATTTTTTAATAGATAATAGTATCAATGTCAAATTAACCTTGAACCCATACCTGCCAACATTTCGTAAATTAAAATACCAAGCGCCCACCAGTCTGATGCTTTATGATGTCCACGATTTTGGACAACCTCTACAAAAAAACAAATATTGAAAAATGGATTAAAAGGAGAAGAGATGGTAGAAGAATGTACCAGGTGCTAGATAATCAACAGTACCGCATAGGGTAAAAGTTCGTTCGCGTGTTTCTTTAGCAAAGCCAAAATCGACGAGACGAACGTGTCCAATAGAATCCAATAAAATATTTTCCTAAAATAAATTAAAGTCTAGTGGATGGATGAACGCGATCATTAAAAGCACAAATGATTATAAATTTCCGTTAACTGTCAAATTCTTTAGAAGGAAGACTATATTTAAGACGTAAGTATTTTCGTCATGCAATCATAAATCAGAAGCATTTTCTTCCGTACACACATTATATCGTGATATTAAAAACTCTGAAGGCTGATTTCATATGATTATAATCATAGAAGCTGAGGTTTTGTTCCTCTTATGTAATTTAATGCAATCAGCAATTTGTTGAATTACTCTCGAAATTAATGAACTGTAGTTTTCTAAAACCGGATAAGGAAGAACGCTTTAGCTCGATGGTTGATAAGATGGTCAATTAAATAAACTGATTACTATCTAATCACTAGAACAGAAAATAACAACAATTAGTCTACCTACCGGCTTCAAGTCTCTGTATAAAATGTCCAGATGATGTAGATAATCCAAGGCTGACAGTACTTCGCTTGCATAAAATATAGATGTTTTTGTATCAAATTTTTCTCGTTTTCTCATCATTTGAAATAACTCGCCACCAGGACAATATTCTAATAATAAATAGAGTAAACGGTCTGTATGACTGGTCCATTGTAATTTAACGATAAATGGATGTTTTATTTTGGATAATATATATTTTTCATTTTGAACATGTTCCACTTGTTTTGATTCAATAATACGTTTTATTGACATTGTTTTAAGAGCGTAAAATGTATTTGACTCTGTATGTCTGACCAACTGTACACGACCAAACGTTCCTGTACAGAAAAGATTATATACTACATATAATAGTAGATAGAACACATTCGAACTGAAGACAAAGAATAGTGTGTTAATATCTATCTCCTGATATTTGTTACTGCTGGTAGAAACCCTATGAAAGAAAATTTTTAAAAAATGAAAATAATAACAAGAATGTACTTACCAGTGCCAACTGTTTTTATATAATCGAATGATTCTGGAGAAAAGATAATTGGTGATGGATCTTCTAAATTGTCTGTTAATGTTGCACCAGTATTATTACTATTATTTGCCACATCATTCAGTTGTGGAGATAGTGATATATGTGATAAATCAGTGTTGCATCGTTGATTATCCATTACGTTTATCTCATTATCAGTGTTAGGACAAGATATAGTGGTCGAAGCGGTTAATGGTCGTTTCGTCGTCGTTGTCTGTTGAGATGAGTGTGGGGTCATAGAATTTTTACTTTTAGATGTTGATTGCGATGAGGGTGGCGTATGAAGAGCGGATTTGGTATGTTTGGAGGATTTTTTATTTGTATCAGTCTTACCCAAATGAAATTTGCTCGTTAATTTTTCTATGGGTTTTGAATTGAGAGATCGTACACTGGCCATCTGGAACCCAAAACACCTGGCAAGGTCTCGTACACTAAAACAAAATAATTATCTCTTTTCTTTATGACATAATAAGTCTGTTTCTATCCTTAGATTCGATTCTGAATAATCAGTGTTTACGGGGAACTGGTTGTAGATAAGTAAGTAGGAGACTATGTAAAAAAAATAGAGGTAACAAACAAGAAAAATTAATATTCGGTTAGTTTTTAAAAGAAAAGAAAAAGAAATCTTCTTTTCATTGGAACACGTCAAATTTAGTGCCAGAAAGGAAGGAAACAAAGCTTTTCTGATTCAATTTTATACTTTGATGAGCTTGAGGAAATATAGGCTTTAATTGTTTTACATGCTCAAGATGCAAGAAAACAACCTCCGCCTCTATAGTAACTATATATACGTTTAATACTCCATTACTCCTACATAGTTTCCAGATTGGTTGCTTTAAGTTTGTTTGCATCCTTCTTTCGTATGAAGTAAAACACTGCGAAAAACTTTCCTTTATTAAAAACGTTTTATGTTAATTTTGTAAAAGGTCAGACTCGGCTTTTTCTTCTAGTTTATAAGTGTTACTCACTACTAAATCATATCGCAATTCAGGAAATCTTAAGAACATAACTTAAACATTCAAAGTAAGTTGTACGATAAGTATTCATACCGATACATTTTTTTCGTTCGTCTCATCATTAAAAAAAAAGGTAGAGTAGAAAGTGCCTTAATTCTCAATTATGTAAAAAGTTCTTCCGGTCAAACCCGGGGTGTCTCATTTTAAAGGTTTCAAGCTATGAATCATGATTCAGATACGCATGACAGAACATGCACTGTAAAAACAATTAAATTGCAGTCTATAAACCTACAACATTCCTCATCTTCATACCAACGATAAGAAAGCAAAGAAGACTGCTTAGGATAATCACAGATTTTTTAGTACAGAATAGCTGTTAAACTATTAGAGTGGTAGTAGAATCTGTAGTAAAACATACATTGTTCTACGTACAGGTCATGTACAATGTATCAATACGTATATTACATACATGTACATTAGGGCGGGTCAAATTGTAGGGAGCAAAAAAAATCGATGTTTTACCTATCCTAGCGGTGTTCTACGGGTCGTTTTAAGAAACTTTGCCCAAGGAACTATAGCTCTATCGTGAAAATCGAGCC